ACACGTTCAGCTCAAACGCCACCAGCAGACAGCGAGTGCCTGTCATTTGTTTTGTTTTCTGAGGAAACATCTGAGCAGTAGGAGAGGCACCGCTCACCACCACTGGCATTAAGGCCGCGTGAGGCACCTTCCCACAGCAGGTGCTGGCCCTGCCCGGGTGCTGTCACTTCCCCACACGACTGCAGTGACGGTGGGAAGGAGAAGCGGATTGGAAGACATTGTCATTGTTTGGTGTTAGGATCATGTCAGTTTAAAGTGAAAGTTCATAAAACCTAGGATTTTAAAGCTTTTCATTTTTTCTATGCTCCTAAATATATGGTTTCATGTACATAAAATTTTAAGACAAAATTATGTTCTCATAGCCATGGGTCTAAGTGTGTGTGTTTTTACAGTCCATAAAGCTTAAGAAAAATCTCATCTTCACAAAACGCTCCTCTGTGTGTTCCCCTTTGAAATGAGTGTTATCTCAGGAGCCACAGAGCTTCTTGTTTAGTTAAATAATTGAAGCAGGGAGCTGGAGGCTCACAGGATAAGGGGAGAGACATTGGAAAAGAAGCAAAAGAAGAACAGAGATTTCTTTTCATGGAAAAGAAAATTCAGTTATAATCGTGTCCTCCTAGTTGCTTGGTTCCCAATGGAAAGGGTTACCATTCAATACAGACAAGATAACGTAAGAGGACTGAGAAAGGACAGAGGCCACAGGTCACAAATGTGGGCTCAGAATTGTTGAATGGACCACGAGGACCCGAATGAGTCTAACTCCATACATCAGGCTCCGACTTTCTGCCAATGTGCTTTTCAACTGGTTTTGACCCTGAAATCAATCTTTGGGAAGTCCTTGAATGACAAATACAACTCATATCACAGTCACTTACTGACCCTCACCCTTCTGTGACTTATTTCTCTTGAACTTCGAAAATACCTCTTGCCATGCAAGTTTCTTTTTTACTTTTTTGATTGAAAAAACATTCATGCATTGGTAGGTTCTTGAGTTTTTCTATCTCTTGTTTTTTTGAAGTGCAAGGTCAGAAGTTGTACAGATCTTCTGGGTTTATCCATGCAATCCCAGATGTTACCTCTTTTAAAACTCTACCGAAAGGCCAATTCCCATGGTTGTTTCATAAAACACACAATGGATGAGCAAATATCATGGACATTTAGTCTTCCTCTGACGTCAGGACGGATACATACCGACTGTAAGTGCGGAAAACTATCAATAGCCTATAATAAACCGATCCCGATCACCTAAAGCGTCATGAGCAGAGGGCGGATCACAGAACCCGAGTAAGGTTGGCGATGGGAAGATAGCGGCAGCGTGTGAGCCTGACATGCGGACACAGAGAGGAAGACGGGGAAGGAGCCGCCGCTGGGCTTCTAGGGTGTCACTACTACAGAGCTCACTGAATGGAAAAGCAAAAGAACGCCAACATCATGGCGGCCACAAACCGCCGGCCTCGGGGGCCCCCAGCTGCTACGGAGCCTGCGAACCCCGAGCTGGCCCGGGCTGGGCTGCCGCTCCTACCTGCCGCTGTTGATGACGGTGAGGTCCGAGCCCGAGCAGATGTCTTCCACGATGTAGGAGTTTTCTTTGCAGGAGACGTTCAGGGAGGTGTAGTTGGGCTTGCACACCGTCAGGAAGTAGGGCGCCTGGTACCCCGTGGCCAGCTGGATGATGTCAGTGATGAGGGCCGTGGAGCACAGGCCGAACACGTGAACACCTGCGCGAGAGGGCGGGGCTGTCACCAGGTCAGCGCCCGGCGGCTGCTGGTCACCATCGACCTTCACGTCTGTGGTGATCGCTTTCTCTGTTTCGAGGAGATAATACAGAATGTCCCTAACTTCTAAACAGATGCTGAAGGTCAATAGAATGGCAATGAGTATCTTCAAAGTAGTCATCTGAGGTACTGTTGTCAGTTTGGTTAAATAAGGCCAATTCCCAGTTGTGTTCACCATAGAACCCCTGTCACCATAGGACCCCTGGAACATGTTAAGGTGACGGGTTGGGTTAAATATCGGGAATGAAGGAGAATTAAAAACAATTTGAAGTTGCTTACCATGCTGAGCTGCCAGGGCTCCGTCTCCCTCTTCCCCTCCACAGTTCCTAACTCTAGCCACAGCCGCCAAACCCTCCAGAACCGGCCCTGACTCCCTGAGGGCTGCAGGCGCACTGGGATGCTGACCCAGGCAGAGAGGGGCAGGTGGGCCCTGCGTGGAGACGGGGTTATGTCCTGGGCACAGGGCCTGGGAGTCTTCCTGCTTAGAATTCAGAGACTATGTGCTTGTATCTCCTGGTCCAGAGTCTCTGTCTCTTCGTCGCCTAGAGCCGGTCTCAGACACAGACTCCCAACCCCACTGCCCACGCGCACACTGACCACCCCTCCTGCTCAGGTCCTTCCTGGCCTTCCCCTCGGGGGTCTGGCTCTGCTCACAGGACCCCCACGCCCGATGGGAGAGGCACGCGGTGGTTCCTCAGTGCCTCCCCCAGACCAGGAGCCGCCTGCACGCCGCCCTGTCTGACACTTTCTGTCTCTGCTTTTTGTCATCGAACAACCCCTCTAGCCGTCCCCCTCCACTCGCTCACCTGGGATTCTGGATACAGGACCTCTGTTCCTACAGTCCAGCTCCTGGCAGCAGGCGGGTCTTGGAGGGAGTATGGGAGGGGGGAACCACCCCCTTTCCCTTTGGAGAGTGAGAATCCCCAGACCCACGGGGGCTGGGCTTGCTGACGGGGACAGGGCTCTCTAGGGTGAGCTGGGCCATCCTCAGTCAGAAGGCCTCCCAGGGGTCACGTGCCTCTTCCCCGGGCATGTGCTGCATTAGGGAGCGTTTCTCAGCTCTGCACCCAGCGTCTCACTTCCTTGCCTCAGTTCCTGACGCTGCCACGGGGCCTGGCCTTGTCTCCCCGTCTCCCTGGGCCTTGCTTAGTGGGCAGGGTCCCGGCCATGATCCAGACCAGACTCCCCCTCGGTGCAGAGACAGCTGTGTTTACTGACCTACGAGGTGCTGATGGGCCCCGTTTCTTTGAGATGACAGGTTGCAGGTACACGACCTTTCCACTGACTTATTGGGAATGAATGTACAGCATTCCTGTTGGCGTGAGGAGCTGTGGCTTCACTTCTCAACCCACTTACAAATAAAAAAAGACCTGTGACTCAAAGAACATTGAGACGTTTCCATGCCAACCAGAAGAGACGGAGGTTTAGATACTGGATTGATTCAGAGGCTGGCTCGCCAGGCCTGTGGGTTTTCTGCGGGTCTCATAGAACAGAGGAGGGAGACTTCGAGAGGGTAACCAAGGAGGAACAGCCACGGTGCGGGGCTGCAGGGTGACATCTTACGTGCAGTAGTTTCTGGACAAAGACACTGCAGGACAATCCCCATGGAATCACTGATGGGACCAAAGTCATTGCCGAGGAGCCATTCATTCCCACTGGCCTGCTGACACGTGCTCTCACTTTAAAAAGGAACACAGCCCAGCCAGCGTGGCTCAGTGGGTGAGCATCCATCTATGAACCAGGAGGTCACGGTTCGATTCCCGGTCAGGGCACAGGCCCGGGTTCCAGGCTTGATCCCCAGTGTGGGGCGTGCAGGAGGCAGCTGAGCAATGATTCTCTCTCATCATTGATGGTTCTCTCTCTCTCTCCCTCTCCCTTCCTCTCTGAAATCAATAAAAGTATATTTTGAAAAATGAACACAGATCCAACGGAACGATTTCAAAGTAAATGCATGCTTCCGCCAGAGCTCAGACAAAAACATGCTGAAATGCGCATGTTAAATTACAGCCTTAGAGACCTAATCTCTGTGATTAAACAGAACATTTCTGTTTGAAACAACCGTTTCCTTTCTTTGCGGCTCCCACACTCACCGACGAATCGGACGGCCCTTCTGAGGAAGGAGTTGAAGTTGCAGCCCCCGGCGTTGATGTTGGGCTCCAGGCCCACGCCGTTCCTCCGCTTGGACAGGCAGCAGTAGAGAATGCCTTCCCCCACCATGATCTGCAAAGACAAGAGGGGCCAGCGTGGGCTCATGGGCTCAGGTGAGTGATGAGTCACCGCTTAACACACGGTCAGCGCAACAAGGCAGAGAAGCATGGTCCTAGCAGCGATGTGACCGGTTTCTCCCTCGCAGCCCGGCCCCCGAAAGGGCATCGGTTGGACCTTCTGAGCTCCTGCCGCTGGTCAAGGGCCTGATGGCATCTGGAGTTTCCATGTGGCAGCACCAGAGCGGGCCCTTGGCTCACCAGCACCCAGTGGCTCCTAACCCATGAACCCCCCGGGTTCGGATTCTGCCCTCATTCTTGAAATCTTGGCACTTCATTCCTAAACCCAGGAAACAAGATGCCGAGGAGCATGGAATAGTACCAGGGGTGTGGTCAGGAGCACCTACCAGCAGATTGTGGCAGTGAAGCAGCGGGGATTGCGCAGAAGGGTCTACCCACAGAGAGCATGCGTGAGGGGAGGTGGGTGCTGCCAACGCAGTGTCCGGTGGGAGTTTCTGCGACATGGACGTGCCCTCCGCCCTGCCCGCTGCGGGAGCCGCTACCCACCCGTGCCCACTGAGCACTTGAAATTCAGCTGCCGCAGTTGAGGAGCCCAGTTTTTCTTTCATTTCATTGTATTTAATTATTTAAAATGTAAGGCCATCTGGATTTAAAGGGAAATAGCCGCAGGTGGCTAGGACTGTCTTATCGGAGGATGCAGGCTCCGGGAGGCTCTAGGGAAGCTAATGTCAGGGGAAGCCTCCAGGACAATTGAAGTGGAATTGTGGCTGATGTGGCTGAAGTCATTTCTGAGATGTTCTCCATTCCTACTGGGCAGTGTCCTGGGTATAAGCCAGTTAGAAACGTGTTGCCAATGGACAGACGAGCACACTGCCCAGCAGAAAGGCTGTCTGGTAGGGGCCTGCACTTGCCGTAGGATTCTACGACACTGGATGTCAGTGAGGGGAGTGACTATAGTTAGACCCCAATTGAAGGATGTCCCCTTGTATGTGGCTCCTCAGCACCCGCCCTGCCCGCTGGCATAGCCAGTTAAAGTGCACGTCAGTCATGCCCTTGATGATCTCTCCCTAACCCGACCCTCTGAGAGAGACCCGTTTCTCTTTACCTGTTACCCTCACTGTCCGGCTCAGTCCCTGGCACTGTGGGGCCTGCACCTGTCCCCTCCCTGTGGGATTCTCGTCGGCTAATTACCCTGGGCGTCTGGGCTGTTGGTCACTCTGTGTAAGGGAAGCAAGATCTGAAATCATGAGTTTTATTTATGCAAAAGAAATCTAAAATATTTGGGGTTACCGTGCCTAAGAGATTATTGTGAAATTAGAATTGACTTGTGTAAACATGCAGAACTGAGAAAAGCAGGGTTACATGAGATCCCAGCAGTCCCTTCAGTATAAGCGGTTGTGTCACTTTAAGGATTACAACATGATTAGGGCTGAAATAGATTTTTCCAGGGAAACGTCCCAGTTCCAGTTCTGAGCATAATATTTTATGAACTATTTAAAATTATAGGCTTTTAAAAACTCATGATAGGGACCCCATGGCCTTCTGCTCTGTTTAATTCTATAGGTACTATGGAATCTGCATTTGTATAAAAATCAATTTTCTTAATGAAACTCTACCAATAACCACGCGTGTGTGAAAATCATGTGGCATACATGCTAGGCTTTTAAGATCAATCATAGAGAAATAATCAAAAGGATTTTTTTCCAAATCATTGAACATTGAGTTAATTATACGTCTTGAAAAATATCATCCTACATTATCTCTTTAAGGTAGGCACGGCGACACAAAAGGTTCTGTATTCTGCCTGGCGCACCATGCACATGGAATCGCATAATGGTTGTCTCAAATTGATCATCGCAAGAAAATTACCCACTCATTCCCGAAATGCATTGTCATAGGGCTAAAAGAGATTGAGTTCGTTTTCACTTCTTCAATAACAATTCTGTGGATAATTTTGTTTCCTTCTTTTTAATTACACCTGTAATGATGATGCACTTCTTATTAGTGAATGCGAGGTTACATAAGAATTTGTTGGTACAGCGCCATTCAGAAATGGTGTCTTACCGTGCAACACAACAGCCATGATCTCAAACGACCTTGAAGTTTCCGGAGTTTTCTACTAGAGCTGCTTAATATGCTGAAACACATATGTCAACACTGTGCTCTCCGGCTATCTGGCTTGATTATAGAGAGAGTGGTGTGTTGTTGTTTTTAACCTTTAAAACATTATTTTATTTTATTTTTTTAGAGAGAGTGGAAGGGAGAGGGAGAGACAGGGAATAACATGGATGTGAGAGAGACACATCGAATGGTTGCCTCCAGCAAACACCCTAACCAGGATTGAGCCTGCAACCAAGGCATGTGCCCTTGACTGGAATCAATCCCGGGACCCTTCAGTCCACAGGCTGACGCTCTATCCACTGAGCCAAACCGGCTAGGGCTTTTGTCCGCATTTTGACATCACCCACTGTCCCTCTCTCTAAGGAGAACATCAATGTTTTCCTCACACTTCCATTCAACCTTGATCTCTATGCCATTGCATGGATTTTCAAAAAGACCGAATTTGGTTAAAGATGGAATTCTCCTTGGGGAGGGGAGGTGCTTGCTGATGTATTTCCAGAAGCGTCCGCCTGTTTCCATGTCCATTTCTCAGGGCTCAAGAAAGAAAACTTTGACCCAGAATCCCCCAGGAAGCCTCTTTCCATTGCATGTTAAGAATTTCTTATGGGAAATGAGGGAGTCAGAGAAGCAGAAACACAGAGATGAGGCCAAGGTCCCCGTCCCCAGCACATGTGTCAGCAAAGGGATGGATGTGAGAGTCATGGTGCTGGGTGGGGGGTTGCAATACAACTAGACTTGCTTTCCTAGCTGCTCAATAAAATATACCTGGGGAGAAAGACAGGGATATAGAAAAGCAAATTACTCAGCTGGTTAATATCAACACAGCCTTTTGAGCAGACTCGTGGCCATGTGTACAGTATTTTATTTCAAACAAGCCAATCTATAAATTTGTCCATTGCCCCCCCAACGAGGAGAAATGCTTTCTAGTGTAATAGCGTTAAAGCACATATTCATTTTGCTCTTATAAAAGGAGTGGGCGGTATGGATTTTTCACAAGTCCTTAAAGAAGTGACAGGAAAACAATGTTGTTCTGAGCAACATCGCACTTTAAATGTGTTCTCTTCGTCCGGGTCTCAGCTACCTGCAAATGCATCATTAATAGTTCCCAGCACGCCGGAGTCACTGCGCTCAAGCAACTCATTGATTTTCAAAGTGTTTTGAGGTCTTCTAAGCGTGATGAAGTTCTTTGGAAAATTAGGTTCTAATTTTATCTGGAGAGAGCATTTGGTGTGATTTATGTGCAGTGCAAATAGCATGTTATGATTATTAATGCAGGGGGAATTTTTAGAAAACAAACTCACAGCCAATGCAAGCATAGACTTTAGAAGGTCAATGCCGAGACTCGCCCAAAACTGCTGATCGCCGAACCAGCACCAGCCAGCTCGTTAGGAAAGGGGTACAAACCCCGTTCCCAGGCAGCGTTTTATTCAGCAGTCCCTCCCCCGATGTTCGTGAGCCCGAGGAGCGCAAAGGCAGAGTCCCTCCTGTCAGAAATAAATATGATTCACCTTGAAACATGTTTGCTGTCCTTTAGGTAGGATTCTGGGGTCACAGGAGATGAGGGGAAGGGTTGGTCAGTCTTATTTATGAATGAGTTTCTCAAAAAGCATGCTATTGCCTTGGCTGGGTGGCTCAGTTGGTTGGAGCATCGTCCCAAAAGGTTGCAGGTTCGATCCCTGGTCAGGGTGCGTACAGGAGATTGATGTTTCTTTCTCACATCAACGCCCCTCTCTCTCTTTCTCTCTCTCTCTCTCTCGCCCCCCCCTTCCTCTCTCTCTCAAATCAATAAACATATACTCGGGTGAGGATTAAAAAAAAAGAGTGTTATTCACAATGTGTCTATTAGCAACCTAAAAAGAACTATGTTTTTAATTCAGTTCCAGCAGGGGAGGGCATTTCTTTATGTTACATATTTTTAAATGCAAGTGCCTGTTCTGCATCTGAAGTGTTTTCTGTGTGTGTGCGCGTGTGTGTGTGTGTGTGTGTGACGTGAGTTACGCCCTCTCTATAGTTGGTGACCCACAGTGCTCGGAATCAGTGAAAAGTGCCAATCAAGTATGAAAGGAAATGCTGAGAGATATCAACATGCAGCTTTGAGAAGAGAGTCTAATCTGTTGGCTACATAGTCACCTGTTTTCCCTGCAGCTTCCACACTTCAGATACCCCATACGCACGAGGATAATGCATTAATGAGTGTATGGACCAGAAACATTGTACTAGCCACTCAAGAGTTATGCAGTTACAAACCTTTTTCCCCCCCAAATGATTTAGAAACCGTTAGCGAACCTTCATGCAATCACATCTCCTTTAGTTATTCATGCCAGTGATTTTAAACTGTGATGTATTCCCACGTGATGTCGTCAAGGCCTCTCAGAGACACGGTCTTTCCGGGCCTGGAGCTAGACTTCACCTTTCACTTGCTTTGAACCCATTGGCTGCAACGTGTGGGCCGCCTTAGTTTTCTGGGGCCGACGGCCCAGTTTGGGGGCAGTGCTCACCGTGATGGCAGGCCCCGCGAAGGCCAGGCTCAGCAGCATGAGCAGCGGGATGGCCTCCTGGGTGGGCTCGATGTAGGGCATGCTGAGGCTGCGGTCATAGCAGCTGAACCCCGAGTGCACGGGCTTGAAGACATCCGTGAGCTCCAGGAAGTACAGGCTGACCACCGACGAGGCCAGGATCGGCAGCTGAGGAGGAAGGACATGGGTCGCTTTATGCTCGCCCGCAGGTCACACACAGAACCCGACGCCTTGAAGTAGGAAATGAGTGTGTTCCCCCCACCCCCGCCCCCTGTCACCACTCTTGCCAGCTTCAGAGTTCATGTCATTCATGAGCACTATTGCCTCTGCCTTCAGAGCCCGCCTCCGGGTCATCCACCGGGGTCAGCCGGTTGCTAGGAGCCCACGCGGTCACTCACCTGTGCTCCCCGGTCACCTCCTAACTGGCCTTCCACTTTCACTCCTACCCACCCCACCCGGCCCAGCCATTTCCTACCCATCACCCCAAGGGCTGAGGACAAATATCTGAGGACAGATCGCTTCTATGTCAACCCCTCCAGTGGTTGCCATTCTGGTCCAGATGTCACCCCGGGGGATGCGAGTTTCTGCAGGACCGGCTCTGGCTTGCTTCTCACATCTTCTGGTACATGCTTATACCACTCCCCAGCCCCGGCCCATGACAGCCCAACTGGTCTTTGCTATTTTTAAAAAAATATTTGAGATCTACTTGGCGTGCAACATTATATTAGTTTCAGGTGTACAACATAATGATTTGGTATTTGTATATATTGCAAAAGGATCACCACAACACTCAGCCAACATCCATCACAACACAAAGTTACAAAGCATTTTGTCCTTGTAATGAGAACTTTCCAGATCTAGTCTCTTAAATCTATAATACAGTCTGATTAGTTATAGTCTTCATGCTGTTCATTATATCCTCAGGACTTATTTATCTTAGAGCTGGACATTTGTAACTCAGGACCCCCTTCTCGCATTTTGCCCACCCCACCCCTCTCCACTGGCAACCACCCATCTGTTCTCTGTATCTGTGAGTCTGGTTTGTTGTTGTTTGAGATTCCACACGTAAGTAATACTGATTCCACTCACAGTGTTTGTCTTTCTCAGTCTGCCTGAGCATAATGCCCTCTAGGTCCATAATGTTGCAAATGGCAAGATTTCCTTCTTTTTCATGGGTTAACAATATATTGTATGTATACACCACATTTTATCTATTATTTTATCAGTAGTCACTGGGGTTGTTTCCATGTCTTGGCTATTGTAAATGATGCTGCATTGAAGATGGTGGGGTATATATCTTTTCCGGTTGGCATTTTAGTTGCCATTGGATATATACCTAGAAGTGGGATCATATGGTAATTCTGTTTTTAATTTTTTGAGAACCTTCCATACTCTTTCCACAGTGGCCGCACCAATTTACAGTCCCACCAATCGCACACAAGGGTTGCCTGTCCTCCATATCCTCACCAACACCTCTCTCCTCCCTTTTCGGTCACAGTAACTCTTCCGGTGTGAGGTGGTGTCTCACTGTGGTTTTGATTACATTTCCCTGCTGATTAGTGATGTAGAGCACCTTCCTATGTCTGTGTTGGGTATTTGTGTGTCTTCTTTGGGAAAAAAAAAAAAGCCTACTTAGATCCTCCAGCCATTTTCTAATCGGATCTTTTGGAAAGTATTGAGTTATATGAGTTCATTTATCTTTGGGATATGAACCCCTTATCAGCTTTGCGACTATGGCCTTCCAGTGGGCAGGTAGCCTTTCATTCTTGCTGATGTGATGGCTCCTTTGTCGCGGAGCTTTTCATGTGATGGAGTCCCATGGCCTTTACCCTTTTCCTGTGATACCCGATCCCCTTCTACCCCGGGCCCTTGGTATTGGCTGTTCTTTCTCTCCTTGGTGCTCTTTCCCGGCTCTCTGTCTGGCTGGCTTCCTCTCGCCATGTAGCGGTAACTTTCTAAGGCAGCCTTGGCCCACCTTCCCTCTCCACCCATTCCATCTTGCTCGCTTTTCTTCCGGGCATTGACCATGGACTGAAATGACCTTGTCCATGTAACAATTCACGTACTTATTTTTCACTGCTCTCCCTCTGCCCCGGAAACCCATGCTCCATGGAGCGAGCGTCGGCCAGTGTTTACTGCCGAGTCCCCAGGGCACAGTTCCTCCCGGCACATGGCCGGCATGCAGTGCATCATTAATAACTTAATGAAGCCACAAACACTTGTTGACAAGTGACTGAGTAAATGAGTAAATCTTAATTTATAACAAGAACTAGACCAGAGTCACCAGATTGAGCCAATGCAAATCCGGGTCATTGGGCGAGATCAGGCTTTAAGACGAGCAGAGAATGACTTTTACTGTATGTACCATGTGACATTTGGGACTATGTACAGTAAACATTATTTATTGTTAATCAGAAATGTTAATGTCACTGGATGTTCTGCAGCTTATCTGGTAAACCTAAACTAGACATGAGTTATTTTCGACTGTGTGCTATGGATTCAATTATTCATTCAACCACCCCACCTACGCTCAGTGCTCCGTGGTGCCAACTATCATGTGGCAAACAAGACGGGGCGTGGCCATCAGGGTCACAGCTCAGGGAGAGACGGCTCCGAGCCAAAGAGAAAATGCCCTGAAGATGCTCTCCGGTGCTGGGCCTCTCAGCGCCTGAAAATGCAGGAGTGTTGCCGCCAAAAATCTGTTTAGTTTAGCCCTGGCCGGTGTGGCTCAGTGGATAGAGCATCGGCCTGCGGACCAAAGGGTCCTGAGTTCTATTCTGGTCAAGGGCACGTACCTTAGTCGCAGGCTCCTTCCTGGCCCGGACCCTGGTCAGGGCTCGTGCAGGAGGCAACCAATCGATGTGTTTCTCTCACATGGATGTTTCTCTCTTTCCCTCTCTATCCACTCTCTCTAAAAATCAATGGAAAAATATCCTTGGGTGAGGATTAACAAAAAAACACACCACAAAACAAAAAAACAACTCTTTAGTTTAAGGCCTAGTTACTTGCGGACAATATAATATTTATTTAATGAAACAGAGCAGGTTTTTAAATAAAGACGTTATTGACCACCATGATTTCTGGTTTGTGGTTTAAAAATAACTACGTTGACGAGACAGCATGATGCCTTCTATTCCCAAGAGGTTCTCGTGTGATGAGGTGACCGTTGGGCTCTGGTCCCGTGGTGGCGCCTGGGAGGCTGTGATAGTAGTGCCTCCACTCACCACCACCGGGTGAGCCAGGGAAGGTTTCCTTCATCTCAGTTTTCTGACCTGTGGCTCGGGGACAGGCTAGCGCCCAGCATCACAGGCAGCAAAGGGGTGAAGTGGTACAAGTCAGACCCACAACAGCGGGGAGGAAGACTAGTGTATACACGTGAGTCTCATTATTGTTGTTGCTGTTAAAACGATCAATAAGATCCTCGTCTCCTTTCTCATAATGCCTGCCCTGGGCGGTTCCCTTTGGGAGGATTTCCTCACTCTTGAGTTCCCAGCGCTCCCTTTAAGGCAGCGGTCGGCAAACTGCGGCCCCTTGAGTGTGGCTCTTCCACAAAATACCACGTGCGGGTGCGTACGTACAGTACGATTGAAACTTCGTGGGCACACTCAAGGGGCCAAAGAGCCGCATGTGATTCGCGAGCCGCAGTCTGCCGACCACTGCCTTTAAGGGAATTATTAGGCGCTGGTCTTTACCAGCCATACCTGGGACAGAGCAGTTGCAGTCTTTGCTCCGCTTCCCAACTAAAAACCTCCTGAAGGCTCGGGCCTAGTCGTATCATTCCTGTATTCCCACTATTACCGCACCAGAGAGACTTCAAACACACATGCATATATACATACAAGGAATCAACATCCGAGCGACATGATTTCCTCCAGACATGCCTCCGCTTGGAACTGCCAGTTTCCCAGACACGCCGTTTTCCCACCCATGCGTTCATCTTTCTATTTGTTTTCAAACTGGGAATCACATTTTTCTTCCTTTCTGATGTCTGTTTCTCTGACTTGTGTTAAAAAGTCTCTTGTACTCTGTCTTTTATATCAATTTGTTTCTAAGAGTGGTTCGCACAAAATATTTATACCACTTGGGGAAGAACAATTTGATCCATTGCTTCCCTGTACCGTGTCTTATACTGGACAGTGTAATGCATTAAATGACAATGTTTACTTCTGACACATATATCTTCGAAGACATCTTTCATCTTGGAAATGCTCAACAGCAGAACTTTCGAAATTTCACAGATGGTATGTGCAAAATTTGGCATAGACATGCACGTAATGCAATCACATGGCATCTTCCGATTGCACTGAAAGTGAGATTTAAAAAGATATTTAAAGAGGTTTATGTAATCATGCATTAGGAATTTTATTCTCTAGTTGTGTTGTCGTCAAGAGTAAAAGGATGAGCCGCACTGTTTTTATGCACTAATACAGAGGAGGAAAATTACCTGGAGACTGGAAAACAGTTTCAGAAAGAAATGACTGACTCTTATAATTACCATCTGCTGAGGACTTGTGAGTAATAATAATAGAGCAATTTGTACAGAGAACATTAGAACAGTCTTAGAGAACAGGGAAAATAAAGGAAATGTGTTCCAAAAGATTACATTTGCTAGAGAATACTGATTTTTTACACCAATTTTATTATTATTTTGTAATTTAGGGTGAAGGTATGGTGCATTTTATTTTATTATTATTTCTTTAATCCTTACCTGAGGATATGTTTTTACTGATGAGAGAGAGAGAGAGAGAGAGAGAGAGAGAGAGAGAGAGAGACATAGGGTGTCCCCCCCAAAATGTAGACACACTTTAACAACTGATAACTCACTTAATTTTCACTCCATTTCAGGTTTAACTGATTTGAAATATTGGGCAAAGCCAGTCTAAGCCTTGAACAAAGAAAACTTATCCTAAAGTGCAAGTGACTTTTTTCTTTTTGTGGGGATACATAAAAGATAAAGTTCACGGTGCAAAACCGTCAACAGGAATGGAGGGCACACAGATACCCAACAAAATGATTCTTGATGTTTCAGGTTCCATTGCTCCCGTTATCCGCGGAGCCTGGACCAGAACCATCATCCTCTGAAAACAGGTGTTCACACACACACAAAAAAGGTTCATTTCTGTAGATGCTTTTACACTTTGAAAACGAGCTGTATGTTAATAAACACCGACTTTATAATCCTGCAAAGTGGGGATACATTTAGGGGGACACCCTGTATTTCCTGGTTCCCACACCCAAACGACACCCTGGTTTATCTTTTCTTCAAAATGCATTGGTTTCGATTCCCTGCACTTTCACTTCCTTTGTGATTTATACCTAAACGGTCTAATGCCAGTCTCAGAAGCATGTGCAGCAAGGAGGGAGGCAATTAGCAGAAATGAGTGTCTAATTACTGGCAGGAGAAACACCTCGACATTAATTGGGTCCCAATGAGCATTTCTGCCCGTGGCCCCATGTTCCAGAACTCACGTCACCGTGAGGAAACCACTCCATTCTGCAGCTACGGGAAGGCCATTTCTCAGCTAACTTATTCTAGAAGAAGCCATAGAAGGCTGGGGTGCGCATCGTTAGAAACTTCAGTTCCAATCCCTTCCTCTCTGTGGCCAGCACGGGCGAGGAGCGCCACTTGGATTTCCGGCAAGTCCTGGGGCTTCCCTGAGTCTCGGTTAGCAGAGGCAATAGCTACTCCTGGGCTGTACTTGAGGGTCAAGTCAGATCATGTATGTGAGCACATTACATTAACCTGCAATGGGAAATTCGAAGTTATTTTACTACCAATGATGTGAATTATATTCTAACCCTCCCAACGTCGCTCTTCCTCTCCTGTCCGTCAGAGACCTCATGTCAAGGGAAGTGACTGTGAAATTCTGGGTGGGCCAATCTTCTGATGTTAGCTAGACCATGCTTTTCAAAGGGCCTAGCCCAGCCGTGGGCAAACTACGGCCCATGGGCCGGATCCGGCCCGTTTGAAATGAATAAAACTAAAAAAAAAAGAGACCGTACCCTTTTATGTAATGATGTTTACTTTGAATTTATATTAGTTCACACAAACACTCCATCCATGCTTTTGTTCCGGCCCTCCGGTCCAGTTTAAGAACCCATTGTGGCCCTCGAGTCAAAAAGTTTGCCCACCCCTGGCCTAACCGCTGGGAAAAGCAGGAGATCCCTCAGACCCGCTTTGACGTGCTGTTGAATGCCATGTGGCGTCACGAAGCGCGTGTGCTGGGTGTCTAGGTCCAGCTTCACACGGCGCGCCCAATTCGTTCACATGTCGCATTGGAATGACCTGTATTGGGAGCGTGGTCATCCCGGGGAGCTGTCTAATAGAAGGGATTCTAGAAATACTCAGGATTGGGCACAGCCCCGATCCACATCAGCCGTGTGTCCCCAGGGAACTCGCTAACCTTTTCAAGCCCTTACCCGCTCGTTCGTGATGAAAAAAAGAATCAAACGAGAGGTTCCCGGGGACCTGATTTTAGAAGACTTCACTCTGGAGTGGGACATTGCCTCATTTTTTTCTTTTTTAAAGAGAGGCTGCTGAGCCATAGCCTGGGCTGTATACATGTACTGAGCGGAAACATGCTGTGATATCGGTAACACATTCCCAGCGTAAACAGGAACAATTGTGCCTCAGATACTTTCTTTGTTGTTGTTTTGTTTTTAAAAATATATATTTTTTTATTTCAGAGAGAAAGGGAGAGGGAGGGATAGAAACATCAATGATGAGAGAGAATCATGGATCGGCTGCCTCCAGCACACCTCCCCCTCTCCCCCCACCCCAGCCCCGGAGATCCAGCCCGAAACCCAGGCCTGTGCCCTGACCTGAAATCGAGCTGTGACCTCCTGGGTCATAGGTCAGCGCTCAACCACTGAGCCACACCGGCTGGGCTTCTTTTTTTACTTTTTAGTTTTATTACGATAGTCGTCTTCATCATTAACCT